CTCTAATCTTTAGCGACGATTCCTAAGCAAATGTCACTTTACCGAACAAACACCTCTCTTATGTCTCCATAAAGAGTCCTCTCTTCGTCAACAATTCACCTTCTCTCTCTCTCTCTCCCAAATCCTTAAAAAGTTCCAATTTTTAATTCTCTCTTTACTCCAAAAACACAACCAAAGAGTCACTGAAAAAGAAAGAACAACTCTTCAAGCGCCACAATTTTTCCCTCTCCTCCTTCGCCATGGCGTCGGACTCCGTCAAGCATACGACTTTGCACGGTGTCTCTTCGGTTACCGTCGAATTCAAAAGCTTCTTCTCCGCCGTGAAACCGAGAAAAACCTCAACTTTTGTTTACGCATTCGTCATTACTTTCGTTGCCTTCACTGTCTTCTTAGCCTTTAGCCCTTCTCCAATCACTGTCTCTCCTTCCATATCATCATATATTACTGTCTCCGATTTACCTAACCCTACCGTCACTTCACCGTCTAATTTCACCACATTGCGAGCACCGGCGCCGGAAAATCTCACTCCGGTTGCTAAAAACGCAACCTTTGAGTCTCCCCTCGCAAACGGGTCAGCAACTCGAACTGCTAAAAACGACACCTTTCAGTCCCGGACAGATCATGCAAGGGAAAACGTGTCGTGTTCTGATGATACTGCTCGAAATTTGGACAAACATGGAGCCGTGGAACCACCTCTTTCGAAGGCTATAGCCGTCAATTCAACTGCTTCTTCGATGCGAAAACAGAGTAAGAGGTCGTCGTTGAGACGAGAGATTGAGTCTCTGAAGAATTGCGAGTTTTTCGATGGAGAGTGGGTCAGAGACGATTCGTATCCGCTTTACAAACCCGGTTCGTGTAATCTGATCGATGAACAGTTTAATTGTATTTCCAATGGACGACCCGACTTTGATTTCCAGAAATTGAAGTGGAAACCGAAGAAATGCAGTTTACCAAGGTAAAGAAGAACACTTGATTTTTACTGCTTCGCTTCAAAAATCAATTTGGTGGTGTGTCTAATAAATCCAATGATTGATTTGTGTGTGTAAGGTTAAGTGGAAGTATATTGCTGGAGATGATTAGAGGAAGAAGGCTTGTGTTTGTTGGAGATTCACTAAATAGGAACATGTGGGAATCTTTGGTTTGCATTCTTAAAGGAGCAGTTAAAGATGAGAGTCAAGTCTTTGAAGCTCATGGAAGGCATCAGTTTCGTTGGGAGGCTGAGTACTCTTTTGTCTTCAAAGTATGTTTCTTTTTAGCTACCGAAATCGGTTTTTCATTACTTTGTTGTTGTTTTGTTGCGTTTTCATCGAATGGTTTTATGGATTGATAGGACTATGATTGCACTGTGGAGTTCTATGCTTCGTCTTTCTTGGTTCGAGAATGGGAAGTTGCGGATAAGAACGGGACCAAGAAGGAGACTTTGCGGTTAGATTTGGTAGGGAAGTCATCGGAGCAGTACAGAGGAGCGGATATTCTTGTATTCAATACCGGACATTGGTGGACTCATGAGAAAACTTCCAAAGGGTAGATATTTCGATCTCTCATGTTTGATGCTTGCATTTGCACTACTTTGGCTCCTTGTTGTGTTGTATTGTGTAATGTTGAAACTCATTGATTGGTATTTGGGTGATTTCGCTAGGGAGGATTATTATCAAGAAGGGAGCAATGTTTACCCGAAACTCGATGTGGATGAAGCGTTTAGGAAAGCATTGACGACTTGGGGTCGATGGGTCGATAAGAATGTGAATCCGAAAAAGTCTCTTGTTTTCTTCCGTGGATATTCCCCGTCACATTTCAGGTATATCAAGGATTCAAGATCTGCATATTTACGAATCATATGCACATGTTCTATAAAATCTGCTTGGCTTGGTTTGGTTGCAGTGGCGGGCAATGGAATGCGGGAGGGGCGTGCGATGATGAAACAGAACCAATCAAGAACGTGACTTACTTAACACCTTACCCGTCGAAAATGGAAATACTTGAAAGAGTTCTAGGAGGAATGATAACACCGGTTACATATCTTAACATCACGAGGTTAACAGATTACAGGAAGGATGCTCACCCGTCGATATACAGGAAAAAGAAACTATCCGCAGAAGAAAGTAAATCACCATTGTTGTACCAAGACTGCAGTCACTGGTGCCTCCCCGGGGTGCCCGATTCTTGGAACGAAATTCTCTATGCTGAGTTGCTTGTAAAACTGGACCAGCTTGGTGGCAAAAGACGGCGGAAACCAGTGAAACGTTATAGGAGTTGAATCCATATCATTTTAGATGACTATAGAAAATCTTAAATGGCTAAAGATGAAAATCAGATTAGTGCCATGTTCACTTTACTTGGTTGTAAACCCAATTCATGGGAGAGATTTGAGATTGTAAATGGTTTGTTACGATGAGTAATAGTAAAATTACAATGAGATGCCTAACCCCAACTGAAACCGAAATCCAAATCAAAATTCGTCTAAATTCCAATGCCTACCCTCTGATGAAGAATCAGTTGGTGGAGAGAATCCGGTTGATGACATCGACAGGCAATGCATAGGCAGGATCAATTGGTTTGACTCCCGGATACTCGAGAAGGGAAAGCCCTGCAGAAAGTTTGATTAATTTGACACAAACACTTTTGCTTCACATCAACAAGATGAGCTAAGGAGAGACACTGTTTAGTTTACCTGCAACTCCAAAGTAAGTGTGAAAGATATCAACAGCGTCGTTGGGGCTATCTGAAATGCCTCCATTATCCATGTCCTATTCAAAATGACATTCATACTTCACTGGTCACATGTGAAAAGATGAGATCTTTTAAAAAAACCAGTATCAACGATATATTAGAGACAAACCTGACAGTTCAAGTGAACTTGACAAGCTTTTCTTTGCTGATCCAGTGAACTCTATCGATCATGATTAAGCTCGATAAGACCCACCAAGAATTTCAAACCTGGTAACAAGAACAATCAAAAGCGTGTCGAGAACAATTGGAATCAGTTCTTGATTTGGAAGAGTTTTAACACTTACATCAGGTTTTTTCTCAGGTCGTACGTCCATTTAAACCTCCAGACTTGTCGTCTTGTCTTTCGCATAACCACCATCCAAGTGAGTCCTTATCGACACGATGGAGATTCCCCGAGATAGCAAGAGCACCCACACAACAGAAAACTGCAGANACAGAAAGATTCAACGTCCTTTTATTACCATATGATGCCACAACGAAACTCAGCAAAGTCACCTAGACACATTTTGAATGATACACTCAAATTAGCATTGAACATACTCTGTCCTGCATGAGACTCCGCTCCAGGTGTGCACCCAAAACCACCATCCAGGTTTTTGCAGCTCATAATGTAATCACGCACCAGATTCATGCTGACACGTCATGACCCACGACACAACTTCATCTTCAGAAACAGAACCGAGCTTCTCAAGCAAGTCCAGTGTGGTCAATCCCCAGTATGCACCATTCATTCTCAGATGATCCATCACCACATACTCAAAGCTATCTTTTTTCTAGCAATTTGATTGATATACACCAAAAAAGAGAAGTGGAAAAGGGAAAGTTTCAAGTTCTAATAGTGACAAAAACACTGAGCATGAGGAAAATGGATGATATATATAGCTTTCTAGTACCCTTTTCAACAACTTGACACAAACCGAAGAAACAACACAAAAGATTTAACAATCCCAATGTGGTATCATCATTAACAATTAAATCACCTATCCATGGTTGAGCATCTAAAGAACTTCACGATCATATCATTGAGGTGAAAACAATAATGAATTCGAACCATTGTTGTATTTGGTAGGTTATGATCAGAGCTTGAGGTCTCAGAAAAATTAAAAGACCAAACTTTAATGTATTGTTCAACGAAATCAGCTAGATATATAGAACACTAACACATAAATAAAGAAATATAGAACAAAGGAAGAACATAATAAGTGATCGCAGAAAGAAGGAAAACACGTAAAGCAACATAATGGAACAGAGAAGCGAACTAACCTAAGAAGAATCTATGGAAGCCAAAGTCTGAGAATTTTCTCTTGCGACCAAATTTTATAAACCAGAAAATCACTAAAATCTCTCGAACCGGCCCTTTTGGTTCAACCGATCAGTTATTTTATTTCCAATCTTGATTTTTGATAACCGGAAAAAAACCCAGAAGAAGGAAGATAAGTGCTAAACCTCTGCCAATTTTCTTCATTCTTCTCTTTCTCTGCCAAAAATGGCGACTCTACTTGATTCATTGACAACCAGAGGCTTCTTCTCTATTCCTTCAATTTCTAGGATTTCTCCTTCTTCATCTTCCTTTCCTTCTTCTTCTTCCTCTTCGATTATCACATCCTTCTTTCCTCACTCCGTTCTCTCTTACTCTCACCAACAACACTCGCATTCTCGCTTCCCTTTCCCTGTTTCAGCATCTTTGAATGATCCTTCCGTTGAGGAAGAGCTTGATTTCGAGGAATCCGAGGAATTCTCTGATGATAACTACGCGGATGATTCGGATAACGAAGACGTCTCACTCGATATCTCCATTCTCGAAAAAGAAGCGAGAGATATCGTTAGGGATTACGCTTCTACTTTGTCTCGCGAACTCAAACTCGGTAATTATTTTCCCTGTTTTGTTGTATGGAATCAAGTGTTAGTGTGTACTTTGTATGTATCAAAATGGTAATTAGAAACTGCTTGATGCTTCCAATGACTGTGAGTGATGGGTATAGTTTGATGTTTCCAGAGGATGAGATCACTGAGGGGAAGGAAACACGTAGAAAAGGGAAAAGGCAAGCTAAAAATGTTAGTCAAGCTTCTTTCTGATATTGTTGCTTTTTTTCTTTCCAGTGAAGGCTCCTTCTTGATTTTGTTTATGAGTTTTCAGGTCTTAACGGCATTTAGGACAACCCCAAAAGCTTTCTTTTAGCTTTTGGAGATAAGAATTTTGAATTTGTCCTGTGGTTGTTTATGGAGGAGAGTCTTTTGGTTACTGACATAACTATGAAATACAAAACCAGACGCAGATACCAGAGCATTTTCTCCAAAGAGTTGCCATAGTTGGAAGGCCCAATGTCGGAAAATCAGCATTGTTCAACCGTCTTGTTGGGGTAATAAAAGTTTTGCTGGCATCGAAGTTTTCAGTTTGATTTTTCCCCTTACCATTCATGGTAGATAATCAAGTTGTCCTTAATACAATTGCAGGAGAACAAAGCAATTGTTGTGGATGAACCTGGAGTTACTAGGGATCGATTGTACGGTAGATCATATTGGGGTGATCAAGAATTTGTAGTGGTAGACACAGGAGGAGTTATGACTGTTTCAAAGTCACCAGCTGGTGTCATGGAAGAGCTGAATGTATCAACTACCATTGGCATGGAAGGTATTCCACTAAGCTCTAGGGAGGCAGCTGTTGCAAGGATGCCTTCCATGATCGAGAAACAAGCTACAGCGGCTGTCGAAGAATCAGCTGTTATTATTTTTGTTGTCGATGGCCAGGTTCTGTTCTTATGTTCTATCTGCTTTAACTTTTCTGTCTTTGGCTTTATCTCACTTTGGCATTATCATGCCGTGTCATTGATATACGGTAATGATTTTTGTACTCAATACGCAGACAGGGCCAACAGGTGCTGATGTGGAAATTGCAGACTGGTTGCGGAAGTACTACTCTCATAAGAATATCATTCTCGCGGTGAACAAATGTGAATCACCACGTAAAGGACTCATGCAAGCTTCCGAATTTTGGTCCCTAGGGTAAATTGACTTTCATCCTACTTCAGAATCATGTTTGAGCACAAGCTTGGTTCTTTTTTTTTTTGTTTTGAGATGTGGTTTAAGGAGTGATTCTGTTTTGAATATAACTTTTCATTGAGTGTTTCAACTGTCTACAAAATAGAATTCATGGACATGTGTCAGTTGGTACTTTCTCATCAGATGATTTTAGTATCTGTTGCTCTGTTTAATTGTGAGTGTTTACATTCAAGAAAATCTTGTACTAATTTTATGAACCTAGAATTGTTATTTTGGTGAGGTTCTGGACCTGGCAAACCAGAAATACTTTCTCCCATAATAGCGTCAATTTTGATGTTTCATCTTTATTATGAATGCCAGTAAGTGGTTTATTCAACAAATTTATGAGATTTTGCTGGAGGAGGTTGGTAGCTGCAGTTTAACAATGCTAAACATTTTAGCTACTTTGCTTCTGTTCATACCTTTGTTTTTTGTTTACAAATTATGTGGCATTAAGTTAACAAGCATATCATGATGGAATTTCCAGGTTTTCACCTATACCTATTTCTGCTTTATCGGGAACTGGAACAGGAGAGCTGCTTGATCTTGTTTGTTCTGGGCTAAATAAACTTGAGGTTTGTTTCTTTAAAAAACTTTGGTGCAGGAATATGATATATTGGACTATAGTTGATTATGATATCTCTACACTTTATGTGGACATATTCTGTCTCACAGTATATTGTCACTGAAATCTTTTGAAGGTGTAGCCTATTCTAAATTATAAAGTCTCCTGTTCACCCCATTCATCAAAGACCTGCAAACATTTTTGAATATTTGGAACTGGCATCAATTTACAAACCAAATATCAAAACTGTTTCTTACATCTGTTGGTTCCATATGACCTAATACTTTTTTTAGATCATGGAGACTATTGAAGAGGAGGAAGAAGAAAACTACATTCCTGCCATTGCTATAATTGGTCGTCCAAATGTTGGCAAAAGTAGCATTTTGAATGCACTTGTCCGAGAAGATAGAACAATTGTTAGTCCTGTTAGTGGCACTACCCGTGATGCTATAGATGCAGAATTTACGGGACCAGATGGGGAGGTTAGTTAAATATCGCCTGTTGTGTTTCTTTTGTTGCTTAGTTTTCTTCCTGTGAAAATTCCAGCAAAAGGCTTCTATGAGGTTTGAACCTTGCGCTGAAGTGCCTGCCTTTATCACTATATACTAATCAGCATCTATTTTATACGCTTTCCATGTTAACTCCTAGCGTTTAAGTCATTTTGGCTAGGCTATCATGCATTGTCTAAGTTGAATTCTATTGAACTCTCTGATTATGAGCAGCGATGATGAGAAATGAGAACAAATAAAGATGTATTCGTTGAATACCTGCCCATATAAATAACCCTGAATATTATGAACTGTGTTGCAGAAGTTTCGACTTATAGATACAGCTGGGATCAGGAAAAAGGCAGCTGTGGCTTCATCAGGCAGCACTACAGAGGCCATGTCAGTGAATCGTGCATTTCGAGCAATTCGTCGTTCTGATGTTGTTGCTCTTGTCATTGAAGCCATGGCATGTATAACAGAGCAGGTATCTCACTAGTAGCTGACACTGATGAATACTTCTCATTAGCCGTTTTACCGGCATGTGGTTTTGGTATAGAGTTGAACCATACAGTAGAATTATCTCGCTGTCTAGCAACAATTTTACCGACTGGATGAACACATAGTCTTAGAATGTGACAAAGCAATTGGTAACACAAATGTACCTTAGTATTGCAACCAAGGACAGATTTGTTTAATCTATGATATACAACTTCCCTATTAATACGAAATTTATCTTTTGCTCCTTTCTTAATGGTTAATATATTGAAAACACAGGATATGAAGATTGCAGAAAGAATAGAAAGAGAAGGGAAAGGATGTTTAGTAGTTGTAAACAAATGGGATACAATACCAAACAAAAACCAACAGACCGCAGCACATTACGAGGACGATGTTCGGGAGAAGCTCCGTTCGCTCAAATGGGCACCCATTGTTTATTCAACTGCAATAACTGGCCATAGCGTTGACAAGTACTTACACTCCTTCTGGATTTTAAAAACTACTTCCATCTTACGCTCGAGGTTTCACTTAATCTGTTGGATTTTATATGAATAGTATTGTGGTTGCTGCTGCAACGGTTCAAAAGGAGAGATCAAGAAGACTTAGTACAGCCATATTGAACCAAGTGATAAGAGAAGCAGTTGCATTTAAATCTCCTCCAAGAACCCGAGGAGGCAAACGTGGTCGCGTTTATTATTGCACTCAGGTAATAATAACAAGATGATCTCCCACTGTTTGCTATTAGGAGTAAAGAAAAATGCTTTGAGAGGCTTTTTGTGGTTTGTATTGAAATCGATGTGATAATGCAGGCAGCGATAAGGCCACCGACGTTTGTGTTCTTTGTAAACGATGCAAAGCTGTTTTCGGATACGTACAGAAGATATATGGAGAAGCAGCTACGCACAGATGCAGGCTTTGCTGGGACTCCGATTAGGCTTCTTTGGCGCAGCCGTAAAAGATCTGACAAAAATGGTGGAGGTACGAGTTCTTTTTAGCAAACTTGTAAAACAAAAACAAATTGAAAAAAGTGTGACAAAATTTGAATTAACTTATGGAAAATTCTGCAGGTGGAGGAACAATGAGAATGTCAGGTCTTACTCGTGAGAGAAATTTTGCAGCCAAAGGGACATAGTAACAAACAATGTATTTTTTGTTT